CCGAAACAATGACCCCGAAATGATAACACTAAAATTAAAAACAACTTGATCATTTTGGAATTGGCATTCAACCGTTTTAATATTTTTTTGCAGAGGGAAATATATAAATTTAGAAAAAAGTTACATAGATAGATTGAATGTGGAAAACAAGTACAAAGCAAGAGAAAAAAGATTGGATTAGTAAAAAAGGATAAAAAATCGAGGGAAGGGGAGGATGGAAAATATAAATAACCCAAGCAATGAAGCGTTTAGGACAGAGGACATCACAAAGCACGTATCCTCTAGAGACCCCATGCCAATGTTAGACATTTAAACCAAAGAAGCGTCACGTTGAGTTTGGAGTAGGAACTGAAATGACGATTGACAGATAGCGGTAAATTCAAATTGTAATTTTTAGTAGTAGGTAGTAGTTCTAAATTAAATTTTAAATGATTTCCACATTTTATTTTATAAAATAAAGTATGGAACTAGTAAGTTCGAAACTTTTATTATTTAGGTCGATATAGTGCCAAATTTGAGGAATTAGTTTGTTATAACGGGTATAAGATATATCAATAAATAATAAATTAAAACATTCTTAAAATATGTTTATTAATAACTTAAATATTATTAGAACAAAATAAATACAAACAATAATACATATTTAACTATGAATTTAACGAATACTTATTTGGAGCAAATGTCTTAAATAGAGACATTTTGTTAACACTGAAGTTATATTTTATAAATGTCTTTTTGCCTGGGGATAAATGTAATATAGGTACTATTGGATTAAAAGAACTATTCATTAACTGATAAAAAATATTTTCCTTCGAAATACAGATTGTATACTCTCTTGTGTAAAAAATGATTTCGGGATCTAGTCCAGCGATAAATTTTTATTATGCATGATGAATCAATGAAGTTTTTCTCCACGTTTTCAACGTAGCACCAAAATCATTGCAAAACATAGTAAGAAATAGAAAAACAAAACATCACAATAACTAAGAAGACAGTATTAACAGAAACCGAAAGCCAAAGCCAACAAAAAACCACTAAAATCAGACGAAAAAAATCGAAATATAAAAACATAAATACACAAACAAACGAACAGAAAAAGAGTTAAAAATTTAAATTTTTTGGAAAACCTCCTATTTGACGGATGTCAGAAGCACGAGGACTTCACCATTTTGTAGGTTAAAAGTTGAATAATTTTTTTTAAAAGATTTCTAAAAGTATTTACGTTAACTGTAGATGTGGCTTGTGGCACATATGTTACAGTAAGATTTAATTATAATCATAAATTATTATTATTATTATTACTTTTATTTGGTAAATAAGCTATATGAAATAAACAAAAACTAATTTTAAAAAAACTTAATCTAACTCTGACGTCATTTCTATTGAAAGAATTGGAAAAACTGATTGATCATACAAACCAACATGCCTATCAATCAGGAAAATCTTGTGAGTCTGCTCTGCATCATCTCGTAACCAAGATAGAGAGAAGACTCAGTAGCCAAGAAATAGTCCTAGGAGCATTTCTTGACATAGAAGGAGCATTTGATAATAACTCCTTTAAATTAATGGTAGCTGCCGCTCGCAAACATGGAATAAAAGACACCATCTGCTGGTGGATAGAAGACATGTTACGCGGACGGCAAGTACAGGTACAAATGTTCGATGCAAAAATTAACCAATTAAAGCGAAATGTAAATCTATTTATTGCAATTTGTCTTTTTTCTTGAACCACCCTGTACAAAACGAAATAATTCTTACATGGTCGTATGGCAAATGCAAAAACCTTTCCAACGAGGGGTCACTCGGTCCCCCTTGCTATTGAAGGTTTTTGAGGTGGGGGCTGGTGGGGCCATGGGGTTGATCCGACAAAATCAGTTGTGATCTAAAAATGTGTCCCCCTAAGGATAAAAATTTACCTGTTTTTGGAGTTCACCTGAATCAAGACGAGAACGAAGTTATCGAGGGTGGATCCTATTCAAAAAACCATCCTGTACAATAATCAAAGGCAGAAATCTAATCATTTGCTAAACTTTTAAGATTTAAGGGATGTTGAAGAATATCATAAAATAATAATTTATTGTTTATTTAAAACCTTTTCTGATGTCTATTATTTCCAGTATTACTGTTATTATTACAAAAATAAAGTTTTTTTCTTCTTATTATACAGCTGTCCATTTATTTTTTTGATTTAATTTCGATTTTGCTACTGAAAATTTATATCTTTTACAGTTTTTTTTGCTAGTATAATTTGCAACAGCAACTCCGGTTGCTCATTTTATTGTTTTTAATTTCTTTTTTAGTAAAAAGTAAAATGTATACGTGTACTTAATACGCCAAAATTACAAAATGTCACCCTTAAGTACTCGAATTATCCGCAGCTTGCGCTAGTATCGCTTTTGCTTCCCCTACCATGACTTTGCACTGATCAAATAGACCGCAGCCATGTTTTAACATGCTTTAGCGTGCTAAACGTTTTTTCGATTAAGCCATAAATAATTTTTAAACCACTTTGTATGTCTGGATAAAATTCACAATGTCTGGACGCTATATCATTAATGGAGAGCTCATTGTGCGCAGAAAGTTCTTTCGTACTCCAGGTTGGTATTCAGCTTCAAAATTGTCGATTCTAAATTTTTCCACTACTTTCATTCTCTAATCGGTAGTAAAAAAATATGATTTTATGTTTTTGGGATGTAACAGGCTTAAGGAAAAACTAACAGAGTCTTCGGAAAAGCGTGATGTAAGCGACGCGCGACGTAAGGGAATCCAGATATGCAATAAATATATTCAACCTATAATAATCTTCAATATTTGCCTGAATATTATTATTTCTATGAGATTCTTCGTAATGCATATCTTACGCGTTGTTGATTAAGTCGTAAAAGCCCCCCCCCCCCCCACACGACGCCCATGAGTACACAATATTTAATTCGCAGTCGGTAACTTATGTGAGACATGAGTAATTTGGAAAATTGCTAATCATAAAGGTCCTGATCAGGATAATAGGACAAACTATTGAAATTATTGCATTGTCCTCGGTCCTTAATAAGTGTGCAAAATTTCAAATCAATCAGACGTTTTGAAGAGGGTGAAAATCAAGTACAAAGATTCCGTTACATATATACACACATACATTAAATCTGTAGGCTGGCTCACGAACTAGGAGGTGCCTATCATCTTAGGAGGATGCACAATGGGCCTAATGAGGCCTAAGTGCCGTGGGGGTAACCCACCCTCCACACGTTACAGATACAGATACATACTAAGCTAATAAAAGCGTATTAAAAATATATTATAGACGAGATGGCCCGAGAAAAAGGAATTAAAATTCTCAGATTGCCTCTTTACCACACAGAGTTAAATCCCATTGAACTGATCACAATTAAAAGGTTATGTTTCTCAAAACAATACATATAAATTTGTTTTTGAAGGCAGTTTCAGATTTAAATGGAAAACATTGGAGAAAATGCATTGATCATGAAATAAATGTGGCAAATTCATGGATAGAGCAATGGAAAACTCAATAATAAACTTTAGAAAATACAATCATAATGATACCAGTAGTTATAATGAAGACAATTACTTTTAAAGATAATTCTTGAACTTTTAATTTTTTTTAATCTTTGATTTTAGGTACTGACGTGTTACTTTTAAAGCCAAGAGATTAAAAAAAGTTTAATTTCATCAACAACAAATAATCCGCCTTGTTATTTATTGGTTATATTTAATTCGTTCAATGTTAGTGCAACAATGTTGTCAGAAGCATAAGGTTTATTTTATATCTGAATTGTATCAGTGGATGTTTTACGTTTTTTTGTAAAATTGTATTTACATTTTATTTGTAAATAACGTACAAGAACCATTGGTGCTTCACTGATAAGTATTTTTATTTTAAATTTTTTAAAAATCTGAAATTAAAAAATTATATTTATATTATACATTTCATTATAAAAATAATCAATATTATTATTATTATTATTATTATTATTATTATTATTATTATTATTATTATTATTATTATTATTATTATTATTGATTGAAATCTACTTTCGAATCCAATAGAAACCCAATAAAAACAAAATATGCTGTCAACAACGAATCACCCACACGAGATTCATGTATCTAACACAACTAAACACAATTTTTAGTTACAAAAAATCTTTTATCATAAATAACAAATAAGTATAAATTATTTTTAAAAATAATATATGAAAAAGCAATAACATTTATAATATTTTTTTTTCATATTATTAAAACAAGGCAAATATAAATAAAACTCACTGAAGAAGGCAATCCAATTTGGGGTCGAAAGCTCTGATATCACAAAGTTTTTGACATTTTAAATTATAAACCTTTTATCCTCAAAAAGGCCCCAAAAAGAATCCAGAAAGAAAACGTTTAAGAAAAGAAATTTTAATAACAGAAATTTCACCTCCAAGTAAAATTATTACTCTTATTAAAAAATATATCAATTCTATGTTAGGTCTAGTAAAGTAACAAAAAATACAGCCATTATCTAGTTTAAACTCTTTTTGCATATGAAAAATTAAGCACACGTACCTGTACATATAACTATTGTAAACAAAAAATATTTGTTTCATATTTAGTGCAAATTAATAATAACGACACAATTCATTTTTTAAAATAAAAATATTTCACAAATTGTCTCAAATCAATGCTCGGAGATGCTACTATTACGTTTTATGCTGTTGTCAAGTCGCACAAAAAGTTGTGTCAACTCATAATCATTTTCCTTGCCTTAACAATATAACTATTGACGTTGTTTTATTCAACCGGCACCATCATTTACTGTATTTACCGTAAAATTGTCAATATTCAAAAAATAACAATTTTTATTTAAAAAAAATTGTGTTGTTATTATTCATTTGCAAAAGATTGTTTTGTTTAAAATGCGTATTCCTAATTTTTTTATAATTGAAAAGCGGACAAACTAGATATTTACCAAAAACAGAATAAAAAAGAAAAAAAAAGTAACTTACCTCGTCATCATCATCGAACCCAATAATGTCCCTAATGAGATTATCATCGAGCAATCTCACACCAGACAAGGTCTGTTTCAAATTTTCAACTTCATTTTCCAGAACCGCGACCCTGGTCACCGTCAAATAATTGAAGACGAATAACGCCACTACCAAAACGTAGAGGAAGGCCAACCCGAAAGTACCGAAGAAGTTCAAAGGGTTTCTTCTTTGAACGCCGAAGGCATTGTATTCGGACAGTTTTTTGTCCGCGATCATGTTCGAGATTGATGATGGGATGGTTCAGCCGCTGTTCACATTTATTATTGAAAGCGACACGACGGAGCAGTTTTCTTGTTCGTACACTTTTAAGCACTGACCAGCTTATCACGCTCACCGAGCTATTTAGTAACAACACGGGTTTCTTTTTGTAGATTTATATTGATGCATAATGAGATGAGTCGAGATAGCTTTCGGAAAAAGTGTGGGAGCGATGCATACATACACTGAAACATTTATGTTTATTCGTTACTGACAAGAAATATTTCAGTGTTTTGTTTTATGAATTATTTGGTACACAATTACATTAATCTAATCGTTGTATATAGGAAAACACAAACAAACTTGGAACAAATTGTTCAAATATGTATTGAACAGTAAAGGGCCTAACAATATCCTTTAAGGCACACCATATGAAATTATTCTTTTATCACAAAAACCACTGTTTAAATTCACACATTGTTTTCGATTAGACAAAAGTATGACTTAAAAGATCATGCGAAATACATCTTATTCCAATTTCGTATATGCTTCTATCAACATTTTGTGGTTAACTGGTATCAAACGCCTTTAAAAAGTCCAAAAATATACCTATCGATGGCTTCTTTTATGTATTTGTTTATATTGTAAAATTGCGTCTGCTGTAGATTTTTGTTCTGTAAATCCATATTGCATTTCATTTATGTTTCTTAAGAAAGTAGTTTTATTGTAATTTTTTCCAAAATTTTACTAAAAAAAATTATAAGATTTATTGGGCTATAACTTAGACGTATCACATCTATATCCATTTTTGTCGATAGATACAACAGTAAGGACAGTAGTCTGTGAAGAGTTTTATGGGGTTACTTTTGAGAAAACAACATTTTTAATATTGATCCTAATTTTGTACCAAAATTTTGAGGAAGTTAGATTTTATGGTATTCGTAAAGAAACTTCATTTTTTTTAATTCCTCTTCAGATAATAGAAAACACGTAGTTATTCTTCTATCAGGCGATATTTCAAGTAAACTAATTAATACAGGTGCGCCTCAAGGATCGATTATTGGACCAATTTTTATTAATGATCTGCCGACAAACATACAAACAGAAATTATAACATTATTTGCAGACGATACCACTAAAATAGATTTTGCTGATGGTTTAGTTTCTATGAAGGACAAAGCCGAGGTTGCATTTGATAATGTAAATCGGTGGCAAGAAACCGGAGAATATTATTTTGGAGGAAAATACTATGAGACAATAAATTAAAATTTTAGGAGTGTCAATCAGGATTTAAATTAGCTATCTGGCAAAGAAAATCAATAAAGTCTTCTTTTAAATTAAAAAGCTTGTTCAGTTAACAACGGTTGATACAGCATTAATCTTTCACTACAGCAATTTTATAGTTTGGCGACTTTTCTGAATCAGAACAAATTTTTAAAATTCAGAAAAAAGTAGTTTAGTTCTTATATTCAGCTGGTTCTATTGAACATTGTGCACCATTATTCAAACGAATGAATATTTTAACACTTCACTGTCATATATCAATGTATGTTGTATCTATCTATCTATCTGAATTAGGGCGTGGTTCAAAGCCCACTTGTACTGAAGCTCTTGGCTTATTGTACCCTTCACAGTTTCTATCCCATCAGATTGATTTTCATGATGAATTCAAGAATATGTCTGATGGGCGCTTTCGCGATTTCTTCAGGTATTGCACCCCGAAGTACCATTCCCGTTCCCATTTAAAGTTCCGACAGTGGCGTAGTATGTGAATAGGAGTTTCGTCCTCCTCTTCACATATTCTACATAGGGAGTCATTAGATATCCCTAAGAGATTTAGGTGTCTCCTAAGGCCGCAGTGTCCCGTAAGGGGTCCTATTAGGGCCTTAAGTTCGCTTCTGCTAAGGTTTAGCAGTTGATTTTGTCTGCTCGTGGATGGCTCCTCTATGAATCTGTTGTTGGACTGTATATGTTAGATAGTGTGCTTAGTTAATACTAGGTATTTATGTATTATGCAAATCAACATGCTATATTCGTTTGTTATAGGCACCCATTTAACATGTTGGTATGAGATACCACATGTGGGTTCAATAATAGTTTTTTCCGCTCTCTTCCTTGCTAGGAGGTCTGCTTTCTCGTTTCCAAACACTTCCTCATGTCCTGGCACCCATTCAAGGGTGACCTTGTTATGTTCTGCCAGGGCCTGGAGGGACTGTTGGCAATCAAAGTATGTTGTATGTTAAAGAAGGAAATTTGGTATAAAAGAGATTACCTCCAAACTTAAAACACTTGTCAATTAGAAAACTTAAAATTCAAATAAAAACGCTACTATTAAATGCTATGCTATGATGAGTTAACTTTGGTACTTTTATAATTTTACATATCTATTTTTTATATTGTATTTTTTCGATTGTAACTGTTTTAATTTTATATGTATTTGGACAATCTTAAATGTATTTACACCGTAGACGGAGTGCTCAATCGTCTAAGTGCGATACGAACAATCCATTCGAGTTGTACAGTATATTTTTTCTACGACCCATTTTAGGTTATTAAGATAAAATAACTAATTTAAAAATTATTTTTCACTTTTACTAATTTATAAAATAAAATAAATTATTTAATTGCGCATGACAGCCAAATACGCTAGTCTCTACGCACTGACTTTTAAAAGGAAAAGTTGGCTATAGGCATATCAAAATAACCAATACGACCTCTAGTGGTCAGATCTGGAATCCTTTTCGATGACATACAATTTTTGTTCTGTGCTTCGTTGAATAGGCAATTGTTTATTTTTGTGTTAAATCTGTTTTTAGGCGTGCTTTTTCTTATAAAAAATGAGTAATTCGTATTGTTCGGTACCTCAGTGTTCGTCTTGGGCGAAAACAAACCCAGACCTGAGTTTTCATTTGTTCCCGGAGGCCGGAAAACATCGTGTGAAAGTTGAGTCAGCCTTAGGTGATCCCACTTGGATGTGTAGGCGTAAAGCTTGGATTTTAAAGCTAAAAATCGGAAAACCAGTAACTAAATATATGTTAGTTTGTTCTAAACACTTTACTGATGACGATTTTTTCCGAAGAGGTAAATAAAATATTGGTCACTTTAAGGTTATGTTTACAATTATAATTTGTTATTTTTAGATGTTAATACTTCAGGCAGAAGAAGATTAAAGTGGACAGCTATTCCCACACAAAATTTGCCAATTTCATCTGTTCCAACTGTTGTAGAACCCGAACCTGAAGTTTCTCAAAGAACTAAAAGGTTAAACTGTGAGTGCAGTGAAGAAGAACAACCTGGGGCCCAATTCTCGAAACATGCGTTAACTGCCGCATGCGCTAAGTAACGCATGGTCGTTAACGCATACGACAGCAATTTAGTATTCCTGAACACCATGCGATAATCGCGAATCAAGTCGAACGTGTTAACGAAGGGTCTTTGATTATTGCATAGTCTTAACCAATGAGGATTGAGAATACCAAAGATGGTATCACTGAATATGAGATAATTGCATTGACATATGTCAAAATTGCCAAAAATGCAAAAATTATAAAATTAAATAAATTGCAGATGTCTAATAATTTTTGGTTTTTGGATGTTTTAACTGTGATTATTTGTATTTTGGACTTGAGAATTGGAGTGGTTTAGATTTAGAATATTAAAAATGGAACAGCGGGGTTCACGAATAACGGAAAAACAGCGTGAAACTTTAGTAGAATTTATAACATTGTTTAGTGCCTGTAAAACTCCTATTTCTTCTATATCATCCATACTAAATAAAATATACCAAAATAAACTGGCACTTAAGCGTCCAATAAAAGAGTTCACGGTACAAAAAGTTTAATTTTTATATTCTAGTAAGTAATAAAATGTTCAAAAAAGTCAAATTAAAAATAAATATTTCCCAATAAATCACAAAACATAACCAAAACCAATACATAGAAACATGAATCAGAATCACGTATGATAAAGCAGGATTAATTGACAATTATAACCTTACTTTCACCTAAACGAATGCGATAAAGTGGTTGTCGAACGGTCATGAGCGCTCTTTGAAAATCATCATTTCTTAGCGCACGCGTTAATAAATTTGACGAATGCCGCCAGCTCAGGAATACACTTTCATCAAGTCGCATATGTTATCGCATGCGATAAGTTAACGAAGGCGTCAGGAATTGGGCCCCTGGGCCTGTACATTCCCATGAAGATTTAAAAGCTGCAGAAGGTCTACTACTGCTTTTGCAGGAACAGCCTAATTATGAAGGACCCACTACGTTTAGAGACTTTGAGGTACAAGTAAATACCCCAAAAATTTCAACATTATGTGATCTCCTGACAACAGACAGTGCTCTTAATAGTTTTACTGGAATTCACAGTTTTCAGCTTTTGGATACAATTGTGGAAGCTGTAGAAATGAATTATACTGATCAGAGGTACCATAGATTAAATATAAGACAACGTATAATTCTACTGATGACAAAATTAAAATGTGACCTTTCTTATGTGACTTTATCAATCTTATTTGCAGTGTCTCAAGAGCTTTGTAAAAAATACATTTTTGATATGCTTCCAATTTTAAGCAGTGTTTTAAACTGTGCCATAAAGTTTCCAGATGGAAAAGAAGTTGAACAAAATATGCCAATATGTTTTAAAGGATTTGAAAATGTGAGATTAGTTCTCGATTGTACTGAAATATTTATACAGAAACCAAAGTGCCTTTGTTGTAGAATTAAGTTTTATTCACAATATAAATCTAATACAACTGTGAAATTTATGACTGGTGTATCTCCTGGGGGTATCATTACCTATGTTAGTGAACCTTATGGAGGAAGAGCTTCTGACAAAACCATTTTTGAGCAGAGCGATATCATACTCAAACTTGATAGCCACAAAGACGCAATTATGGTAGATAAAGGATTTCTAATAGATGATATTTGTGAAACCTTTAAAATAAAATTAATTAGACCTCCATTTTTAAAAAAACAAAGTCAGCTGACTGCAGAACAGGCTATTTTAAATTC